CCCCAAAACCCCAAAACCCCAAAACCCCTATGCTTGAATATATAAATATATGATGTTGATTATTTAATTTTAACATTAAATCTTATAATAATAAATCATTTGCAAAATGGGTAAGTTATCTTGCATATTTCCTGATTTTATTTCTTTATATTTATATTCATTGCTTGTTAGACTATATGCCTAAATATTTAACTATAGATGACTATGATGAAGTTTCAAATTCATCTACTTAAAACAGTGACACTTAAAGAGAGGAACTTTTGAAATAACACGCATTAGATAAAAAGAAAATAAAGCTCTTGAAGAAGGCTTTAAAAGAGGAGATAGCTTAAAGATAGAAATATGAAGCTGATCTAGAAAAAGCTACAACTAAAATAATCTAAATGAGTAAAAACCTTGAAGAAAAAGAGGATAAGTATCTAAAGCTCTACTAAGAAAATGTTACAATGAATGAAAAATTATCAGAGTTTTCATCTAATATAACTTCAAAGAATTTCATTGTAAGTCATCATTTGATGATTGATTATTTAGAGAAGTAATAGTATGCTTTAAAACAGTAGTAGCAATAGTAATTAGGATAATAACTATGGCTATTAAGTCTAATAAGAAAACCAAATCTAATAATTAATTGCTAAATTGTAAGACACAATTTAGAAAAAAGATTTGGAGATTTTGTAGTCTTAGTCTCAACTTAGGAAATAGAACATTGAAAAAGAATTTATGTAGGCCTAATATAGAGAGTCTAAAGAAATTATAAGTGCTATGGAGAAATAGCTGGATGACAGTGGTCTAGTCCATAAGGAACTTATATACAACAAGGAAGAGATTATAAAAGATCTTGAACGTTAGATTAGTCAATAGGAGAATTATATTAAGAATTTAAAGAGGGAAATAGAAAATGCAAGCCAATCAGAAAATTAAGTCAATGATAAGATTCTAAGTTTGGAATAAATTATTGATGAAAAGGACTAAATGATTGAGGAGTATAGACTGTAAATATGGTAGTTGAAGGAGGACTAAATGAACAAAGAGCAAGTAATTGAAGCACTAAGTAATAGTCTGGGCAATAAGGGAGAAGAAGCAGCATAATTAGCATAAAAACTAGCTGTGATAAAGAATCAGTTAATAGATGCTGGCACATTTGACCAAAGGTATATTGTTCAGAAAAGGACTAAATTCGGGGTTACAGATAGATATGTAAGAATTTATTTGAAGTTTATTGAGTGAATATAGATTTAATTCCTGCGAGATACTGAAGAAGAGGGAGAATTCTTTTTGCAAATAACTAGGAAAGATGGTTCAAAGAGAAAACGCATCCCAGTTCTCTTGATAGAGTAGATAGAAAACATAGACGGGGTTAATTTTAACATGATTGTCTTAGAAATCTAGAATAAAAATGACAATCGTTTTAAGAATGGCAAGAGCAATAGAATGAGTGGTATGTTTAACCCAACTAAATGGGTCAAGATGCCATTCGTGAAGTCAATCAGAGGTAAGCAAGTATACATACTGCACTTTGAAAGTGAACATCTAAATTCTATTATTGAGTCATTTAAGAAGGTCAGACTACTGGCTTTGGAGAAAGTATAAGAATAAGCTGAGATGGTGGATGAGTTAATGAAGCAAGCTGAATCTCAATATGAAATAGTGCATTTTGACTGAGAATTTAAAAATCAATGAAATATCATATTAATGTAAGAGGGAAGTTTATATAATAAGCCGAGATAAGTAAGATGCCCATCAGTATTGATCAAATGAATGAATATTATTAGTTTTGTTAATTTATTTATTAAATGAATAAATATCAAAGAATTTAAAATCTGACAGTCATTCCTCTACCCATTAAATTCTCTTGCCATCTTCCCAGACTCCTCTTTTCTCAGTTCCATTTGCTTATTGGTAATAACCTTCTCCGTGTTACTTTCCATTTTTCCAATTTCCTCTGTATTATCTGCTATCAGCCCATGTATAAGTGCCGTATCCATCTTTCTTATCATTAATGTATTCACCTTCGTACTTCCTTCCGTCTTTCCAAGTGTAAATACCCTTGCCATGCATGTTATTGTCCTTCCATTAGCCTTCATATCTTCTTCCATCTGGCCACTCATAAATACCATATCCATTGATCTTGTTCTCATACCAGTCTCCATCGTACATGGACTAGTCGTTCCACACATATTTACCTCTGCCATGCTTAGTGCCCTCCTTATAATAGCCTTCATATTTGGAGCCATCTGACCATGTTTCTACTCCATAGCCATCTTATAAATCGTTCTTCCAATTACCCTCATATCTGGCACCATTCACATGTACATAAATTCCATAGCCATTGGCTTTGTCTTCTTTCCACTCTCCCTCGTAGATATCTCCGTCAGCATGCCAAAATTTACCCTTGCCATTAGCCTGATTGTTCAACCACTCTCCTTCATACTTTGCTCCATCTGGCCACACTTAAGTTCCTTAGCCATGCCTTTAACCATCCTTCATGTACCCTATAATTATTATAGGATCTCAGATGTATTTAACTTACCTTTGTAAATTGCACCATTCTCAAACACTAGCTCCTCAATATATTAAATACTCCCATCTCCACCAGCATTATTTACTGTTTTTTCTTTATCATAAGAAGGAGGCTATTAAACATTAATCAATAAACTCCATGTATTTTACTTGACTTTGTTGCTTAGGATTAAGTCTCTAAGACTATTATTACTAAAATTATTAATTGGGATCGAATGTCTTGTCCTCAAACTAGGTATGTGCCTTTTGCTTGTTGCTATTTGTTTTCTATTTATAATACATTAACTTCTTTAAGTAAGTTAAATACCTTTTGATCCATTCTGACTTCTTGTTCTTAGTCGTCTGCATCGTTACAGCTGCAAGTTTAGCCCATTTTACTCACTAATAAATTATATACAATTTTCAATTAATTTATATTTTATTTTAGCTCTAATATAAAATTCATTGCATATTCCCTGCGGGGTTTTGGGGTTTTGGGGTTTTGGGG